GCGGACCGCTGCAGCCCTGGAGGTCCCCACCCACCCGCCGCCGGCGCCCCTGGCGGTCCCGGGGGCAGGAGAGCTCCAGCCGCGGGGCGTCTGCGACCGAGGCGAGACTTCTTCCGGGAACCAAGCACGGCTAGAGTCGCCGCGAAAGTCGAATCCCTGCGTGCAAGAAGCAGCCTTGCGTGGGGGAGGGGCGGCGACGGTTCTAGTGGGTGGGAAGGAAACTAGAAAGAAAGGAAACCAACTAATACGCCTACCTGTGTTGGAGGGTCATTGGGCGAGCTCCCCTCCCGCCACAAACCTGCCCTCACAGCACCCCCTGGTGGATGTGCTGTCCGTTCGTTTGGAGGTTCCCGTCCAAGGACCCCAACCAACATTAGGAAGTTTAACATTTTGGGGGGGGGGAGTTAGGTTGGACCCAAACATTTGGGGTCATCTGTTAGGAGATACAACAGGGCCCTGGGGGGCACATAAGGAATCGGGGTTTTGCTGACAGATGAGAACCAACTATTTGAATCTAAGGAAACGAGTCGATTTCTTAGGCTAGAATGTAATCCTCAAAAATCAATAGGTGGATAAAAGCATGGAAATAGAACGATGCGGCTAAGAAGTGGATTTAGAAACTCCTTGTCCAAGGCCGACTCCTGTTTTTGTTTACCGTGTATGTTGACATAGAGCCACAAGGCAAGGACACAGTCAGTACTCAATAAATATTTGTTGACCAGATTGCATTTTGCAACAGAGAATCACCTTTCCAATTCAGTCCCAGTCTTTCTTATCTATTCACGTTCGCTTGTTCATTGAACAAATAATTTTTCAAGTGCTCAGCGCTGGATGTGAGCATCACCCAGTCCCTAGCCTGACTTCCTCTGTCACTCTGTCAAGTGCGCCAGGTGCTTCCAAAAATGGGTATGGAGAGTGGAGAGATATAAAAAGGGCTAGACTTGGCCGGGCGGTGGTGGCGCACGCCTTTAATCCCAGCACTCGGGAGGCAGAGCCAGGCGGATCTCTGTGAGTTCGAGGCCAGCCTGGTCTCCAAAGCGAGTTCCAGGAAAGGCGCAAAGCTACACAGAGAAACCCTGTCTCGAAAAACCAAAAAAAAAAAAAAAAAAAAAAAAAAAAAAAAAAGGCTAGACTTGCCTCTTCCAGGGTGGCTAGCCTGGAAGGCCACAAGAAGATGGCTATTTGCAAGCATAGAGTATCTGGGGGTGAGCAAAAAGCCCTGAACAAGAAAGTTCAGAGTTTTGTAAGAAAAACTAATACAAGAAATATCAGGGCTGTGGCACCGTGCTTTTAATCCCAGGCAGAGGCAAAGGGAGGTCTCTTGAGTTCGAGGCCAACCTGGTCTACGAAGCAAGTTCCAAGAGAGCCAGGGCTACACGGAGAAACCCTGTTTTGAAAAACTAAATTGTGTGTGTGTGTGTGTGTGTGTGTGTGTGTGTGTGTGTGTGTGTGTGTACAGAGCTGGAGAGATGGCTCAGGGGTTAAGAGCACTTGTTGCTCTTGCAGAGGCCCCAGGTTCATTCTCAGCACATATGTGGTGATTCACAACCATCCATAACCCCAGATCCAGGTACCCAACGAGCATGCACATGATGCACTATATGCATGCAGGCAAGGCATTCATACACAAAAAAGTAAATCTAAGATTTTATATATATATATATATATATATATATATATATATATATATACACACACACACACATTGAGATAATATCCATGATATTATCTGTGTCTAAATCAGGAATATATGTACTTCGAAAACCAAAAAGAATGATCTGAAGAAATAGAAAAAGAGCCTTACAGAGGCTGGAGAGATGGCTGAATAGGAAGTATACTGCTCTTACAGAGGACCTGAGCTTGGTTTCTAACTCTAATTCCAAGGAATCCGATGACCTTTTTGGTTTCCACTGGCATCCACAGATAAGTAGCACTCACTCATGTAAACACACATAAATAAAAATTACAAATTATAAAAAGAGGGCATTCATCCATTTTCTTCTCAGAAGAAAGACTATGGTATTGGAAAAGGGGTGGTTCAGTACTGTACATGGAAAAAAACCTAGATTCTTGATGCATCTGTTTTTGAAGTTAAATATATTAATCATCTTAACAAAGTAGCTTTTGATCTTATTTATTTACTACACATATATATGCGTGTGTGTGTGTACATATAGAGTTATCCCCCCCCAACTTAAGTGCTGGAGATTGAAGCTGGGACTCCATGTATGTTGGATATGTACTCTATCAGTAAGCAGGGACTCCATGTATGTTGGATATGTACTCTATCAGTGAGCTATACCCAATCCCCTAATAAAATATTTAGTATCTGAGAAGTTCCAGGTACTCTCCTAGATTCTAGGATATAGGATGAACAAGACAGATGGAGTCCCCTTCTCATAAACTTCAGAACAGCCATTTTTCACCCACTTGAATGACAATCCTCAGAGAAAGACGGTAACAGCTATTGAGAAGTGGAGAGATCAGACCCTCATATCTTCCTGCTGGAAACATTAAACGGTTGATTGCTTTGGAAAATAGCCTGGCAGATCCTCAAAAAGATTAGAGGTGGGTATGGTGGGCACACATTTTTAATCCCAGCACCTGAGAGACAGAGGCAGGAGACTGAGTTTAAGGCCAGCCAGGGCTACCCAATAAGACACTGTCTCAAAAAATAAAAATAAAAAACTACAATATGACCTAGCCATTCCATTTTTAGGTATATATATGTCTTTCTTTTTTTTATTTTATTTTATTTTTTATTTTTTTGGTTTTCAAGACAGGGATTGTCAGGGTAGGTCTAGCTGTCCCAAAACTATTTCTGTAAACCAGGCTGGCCTCTCGAACTCAGAGATTCATCTGCCTCTGTTTCCTGAGTGCTGGGATCAAAGGTATGCACCACTACACCTGAATTTTAGGTGTATTACTAAGGAAATGAAACATACATCCACAAAAGAACTTATACAGGAATATGCATAGCCTCATCACTTGGTGTGTGTGTGTGTGTGTGTGTGTGTGTGTGTGTGTGTGTGTGTGTGTA